CTCTCTCTCTCTCTTTCTCACACTTGGTCCGAATACTGAGGTATGTGGTTTGACTTCACAGGAAATGGTCTCACATTCTTCAAATCTCTTGTCTATTCAAACCAGACTACAGGCAGTGGTTGGTGGAGGTGAACTTCAGCAGACAGTATGGTGGGGTGACAAGGGGGACAAGGGGCTATCCAGGGTCTCGGTTGGAGACAGATCTGAACTTGAGCTTTTAAACATGGACGAGATGTGGAGGGCCTGGTAAACACACAAGCACATTCCCAACCATTAGATTTTTGACAGACGCTGACATGTGGACACACACTGATGCACAAAAACAAGTAGGCAAGGTATACTGACCACCCAGTAAGCAGTGAGGGCTCCCTGTATGTAGCCTGTTAGCACGTCGGACGGGTGGTGCCTATAATCTGAGATGCGGGTCAGACCTGTGTAGACTGCCAGCAGGACCAGGAAGAACTGTAGTGCTGGCCTCAGCAGCCGAGCCCCACGCCATGTCAACCGTGCCTGCAGGTAAAACTATGTGACAAAAACAAACATGATGTCATTTAGTTTAACAATATGGTCATCATCTGTTACTGTTTGCAATTCACTTTTTTCATAATGGGTCATTTAAAACTTTTAGGGAAACTATCCTGCCGACTGATGCAATGTAACACTGACCTCAAAGAATAGCTGAAATATAAAATTAGATTTCACCGTACTATATTACTAAAAGTTACATAAGTTAACTATACGTTCATCAGTACAGTAATGATGTCATACTCACCACTCTCTGTCTATATGTTATTTAGTAAGTACTGTAGTAGTTAGTTTGTAATAACGTGATATAATATACTGTTATTCAGTAAATTACACCTAGTAAAACAAAAAGTCTAGTTAATTTAAAGTTAGATAATAATGGATTTTAAGTTAGGTCCAAGATGGAACTCCATGATTGGGTAATATTGCTGGTGATGCCTTAAGGCTGCAGTTTATTTTATGTTTTAGTAAAGCATACAACATTACCAAACAAGTTAAACATGGTAAATCTGGGGCCTTTGGACCCCCTCTAGGACCCTGTGGCAGTTGCCCATTTTGCCTGTTTTCTTCCAACATTAGCTTTAAGAGTCTTTTTTTTAACTAAACCTAAAACACTAATTCACTGTAGTTGGTTTATACAGGCTTTTATCTGTGAATTTAAATGTGAATAGACATAATTTCCCCTCCAGATTCGGATGCAGCACATCAGTTACACTCGACGGAGCTTCCAAGTTCTCAAGCTATAGTAAAAACAAAGGTAAACAATCTTGTTTTTCATTATCCCTTTTTACTCACACTAAATGTAATGCAGCACTATCGTAACATAAAGAGCAGCTGGAGGTAGTAATTGTGAACAAGCAAGCCAAGACTGCATGCAAAATGGCACACACATCAATATGCTGCAAGTACATATGCAGGCACTGGCTACACGTATAAATGCAGGAGCTTGCACACACACACGCTCACACACAATAGAGGAGAGCAGTGAGGCAGTGAGGCGAGGTCACACTCCTCCCACAGCAGAACAAAGCTGTCTCTGTTTATCCCATTTCTCCTTTCAGTCCTGTTCTTTCTCCCTCTCCTCTTTCATTCTCTCGCTTTCTGCTGCTAACTAGACTGATGATGGGCCCCTGTTTCATTCATTCGCTCTCTGCATTTTGTAGAGGTACGGTAATTGGAAAATGGAGAGACAGTAAACTGTGTTTGCCAGTGAATGTGTGTGAAAGAGAGAGCAATAGATAGATAGAAAGAATACTCACTGCTAAATAGAGCATTGTGTACATCGCAAAGGAAGCGTGGCCAGAGAAGAAGGACTTCCTAAAAAATTGGAGAAGTATTTAGAATAGCGCAAAACAAAATGCACAATACATAACACTTAATGCATAAACACACACACACACCTGGCCTCTTCCTCCAACCGGTGGTCAGGCTGGCGGCAGTTCACTGTTGCAACATAGGTTCCAGGTGTGCAGTTAAGCGACGCATAAGTGACACCGCACACAGACAGGAAGTGCGGTCGCAGTCGCCCAACACTCAACTTGGCCATGTTGGTCAGTGACTGGCCAACACAGCAGCCGAACAGGAAGCAGCCCAGTTCCTTGTACAAAGAGGACACATACAGGTTCCTGACAAAGGCCTTGGAGCTGACGCCTCTGAAACGAACCCGGTAACACTCCCCAAGGGCGATCTGGAGGTGGACACACATTCAGAATATTAGAATCCTATCATCCTCCTCACAAGCTGGGACATGATGTATAATGAATAATGGACTGACTACTATGTCTGGGATGATCACAGTGATGAGTACTCACAGTGAGGCCGGTGATGATGATGCCACCTGCGATGAGTAATTCATCTGATATGGCCTCTTGGTGCAGATAAGGATAGGTTATGCTGGGGTCCCCGCACATGAAGCCCCTTTTGTACGGACTCACTGCCTTCAGCTCACACGCAAAGAAAGGGATTGAAGCTGCACAGGAGGAGGAGGAGGAAGAGAAAGGAGATGTTTTTGTATCACAACAATCCCCAGTGGGAGTATAGATATTTGTCTTTGTAATGAGAGATTCGAGATGCTGAGGAGGAGAAAAGAGGAGCGAAACCAGTGGATGAGAAGGGGCAATGAGGAGAAATCTGCAACCACTCCAACTGTCAGTCATGTGGCATTCAGTGTCATCCATACTTACATGCAGACAAGTGCTGGGACATTTTCAATACAAGTGCCTAAATAAATGTAAAATAAAATGTTAATTTTCCAACAGTTTTTACTTTGAAGAAACTAAAGATGTTTTTCTACAATATGTTTTGCAGTCATGCTAGAGGAGTGGCTTTACTTTGTTCCAGACTGAAATATCCCAACAACTATCACATGCGTTGCCACAAAATTTTGTAGAGACATTCATGGTTCCCAGGGGATGAATCCTACTGACTTTGGTTATGCTCTGAGGTTTCCTCTAGCACTACCATGAAACTTTGTGTTTTTTAGTGAAATGTTTTAACAACTATTGGATGTATTGCCAAGGAATTTAGTGCAGACTTTCACGTCATCCCCAACCCGGCATGCTAACATGCTAAACTGAGATGGATGGCCTTTACCTGCTTAACATCAGCAAAAGTATGATTTTAATACTACACATTTTTGTCGCTACCCAAAAAGCATTGATGTTGAAACCCAGCACCAGTGCAGATATATGATGTCTTTGACTCTTCATCCCTGTCACACATCAAGAGATACACATTAAGCATACCATTAATCACAGATGAAAGCAATAAGGTCTAAAATTAAGAAAGAAAGACAGAGGTAACAGAAATTCAAGGCTTTAATAGAACTGACAGGGAATGACAGATGGTCAAAGTAGGAAAACAAGGATGGGAACCCTGAGTTTTTCTCTGGAGAACCCAACTAGTTAGACAATCATTAGGAATGTGAAAGTCTGGAAATAGAAGAGTAAAGCAGGCAGAGCTCAGCACAGACCCAGTTTAAACTGTGCGTGTGTGTGAGTGTGTGTGTGTCTATGTGTGTGCATTTCTGTTGATGAGGAGAGAAAGGGGGGTTGTTTGTGACTTCAGTTCAACTCTCCCCTACAAAACAAAGAGCAAATGCCGCAGCAAACCAGAGCCAGAACCAGCCTCACACTGTCTCTGTTTGTCTCTGGGTGTCCTTCCCTCTCTCTCTCTTTCTCTCTGTCTTGCATGCCTGCACACACACAGTAGAGAATGAGAAAGAGACAGACGGAGAAAGACAGAGGGAGCGACTTCTACCATGGTTCCCTCCCTTATGCACATGTCCAATCTGCTGTTAATACAGACTACCTCTCCGTCCAGCTTTTTCCAATTAGCCAACATTACATAAGCACCCTCCTGTCACATATAAGGACCATGGGAGGGAGGGTCAACAATTACGGTCATGTGTGCACACACATACACACAGGCAGTGTGCATGTATTTATTTATACCAAATACAATTCCCCCTGGCCCGGCTCTACCCTGAGAACTGGAGGTTGTCATGGAAACTGTAGAATTCCCTGGGCAATGCACAAACCAGCTGGCACGGAGAGCTCGAGAGTGCGCAGGAGTGGGAAAAAAAAGAGCCAAGGATACATGTAGATGGAGAGAGAACTTGAAAAACTTTCCCCTCGTTTTTGTCTTTTGTTCTTTCTTCTTTTAATTTATAAACCTGGTGTTAATTTGCTGCTCATATTCTGCAGGCCCACATGCATGAATGTAGCCATTGACTGTATGTGTTGACCAAATAAAAAAGCCTGAAAACAAAGTGGAACAGAGCTCAACAAGGTTGAAGTTAACCCTCACCTGATATACCCTATAGAAAGAATAATAATTTATACAGAAATTCACCTAAAGCCTTCAAAACTAAAAATAAATGGATATTGTATGAAAAAAACGTGATTACTTTCACTGTCAATTAATTAATTTTCTCAATTATTTGGTCCATAAACTGTGTGAATAGTGAAAAATCACACTTTCATTACATCCATGATAATGGCATCAAATTTGCTTGTTTTTTCCAACCAACACTTCAAGATTAAAGATACATACATTTATTGTCACATCAGGAAATAAAGTTTGGAATCAGGCATCCGTTTCAGCTCTAGAAATGCAACAGGCAACATCTAGCACATAGTACAAATAGCCCTTCAGCAAATCAGTGCACAGTATTGATTTACTGATTTAACACAATAACAAAATGACCACAGAGCTGTATCACACCGAGCCGTGATAAACTTATACATGATGCTGTAATGGCACAGTTTGGATTGGGTGGTATTACACAGATGATTTTGTGGTCCACTTGGTACACCAACAAAACCACACATTCATTCAACAAGTAAAAAAAAAACAAATCTTAAACATTTTTCCTGTAGCATGTATTTTAATATTTACCTAGGAAGAGGCAGAGCAGGTCTAAGCCGACCAGAAGTTTTCTCTTAGATAAAGCCGGTCCAGTTATCTCTAGGAGTTTCTTCCCAGTTCCGTTCTCCATCCCCATCCCTGTTGCGGCCAGGCTGCTCTTGTTGTCCGTCAGTTTGAGCTGGAGGTCCGCGCTGGAGACGGGTACACCGGCGCTCTGCGGCCCAAATTTATCCAACATGACGATGTGCTGCGAGTGGAGGCTCCGACTAAACAACTTGTTGGCATCAGAAACTTGGGAGCGCCCTATTACCGCTCCCGTGCAGAGCTGCCGGAAGGCTGTAAGTGAATCCACAAGTTGCCACAGTATTTAATGTGCCCCCAAAGCCACGTGTTGCTTCGCTGTCAAAGAAAACTCTCATTTTTAAAGCATTTTT